TCGAAATTAACGATTAAGATTTGATAGTAAAAGCTAGTAAGAAAAAAGTAGTAAATATGATTATCAAAAAAAAAAAAAAAAAAAAGTAGTAAATATAACCTCTCCCAATATTACTTTTTATTTCTACACGTTATAATTATTGTTAATTTACATTAATTATATATTAATACCACTATGTTATAATGCTGACAAATAATAAGGACGAAGTGTAAAAAGAATGTACATATAGAAATTAAATTAAAACTTTTTTATATGAAATAAAATAAAATATTAAACATTACATATAAATATTACATATACCGCTATATTACAATTTGATATCTCATTAGTGAAAGAATTCTTCTATAATACGAGAATTATTTTTCTCATAGTAAATTATAAAAGTTATTAAATTCACTATGTTGATTTTTTATTTAACTATGGTCGTAGGTTCGATTCCCCACAAACGGCCTCAATAATCTATTCGAGTGGACCGAAAATGTCTAATTAATGGTTAGTGTTTGTATCTTATGTCGATATGCTCGTGGGAAAAGGTGTGGATGTATGCACATTGGTAATTAAAAATGTATGAAGTTTAGAGTATATACATAAGACATTTAAGAAAAAAAATCACTTCTCGAAAAAAGTTTGTTTGGATGAGCTTTTTTCTCTTCAAAAATTTTTTTTTTAAGAAAAAAAAAATACTTCTCGAAAAAAGTCTGTTTGTATGTCTGCTTTTAAAAAAAGCAGAAGTCATAAAAAAAATCAAAAATTTACTTTTTTCGAAAGCTAAAAATTTTAACTTCTCAAAAAAGCAGAAGTCAAAAGTCAAATATTTTTTTTTCAAAAATCAAATATTTTTTTAAAAATCTAAATAGCTGTAGCTTTTATAAAAAGTACTTTTAAAATAAAAAAGTGATAAAAAAGACTTTTTTAAAAAGTGAATACAAACGGACCTTAATCCTTTGTTTTAAAAGAAGTTATGTTATAAAAAAAAAAAAAAAGAAGTTACCATAAGTTCGGATAAGAACCAGGTTATTGGAAATAGTATAAGTAATCTAATTGATTATCCCTTAGGCATAGAATAGAAAATCATAAAAAATTATCCAAAATAATTTTCTTTGAATTTTGTATTCTTAAAAGACCACATGGATGTGAGATACTTCTTTAGAGATAAAAAAAAATTAATCCACCAGTTAATTTTGTTTCTTTTGACAATCTAATGATGGAAAAAATAAAATAAGTTAAGTGAGCGTTTGGTATGAGAGATATTTTTTTTAACCTGGAAAAAAAGATAATTGAGGATTTGGTAAGAAATTTTTTATCCTGGGTAAGTTACGAAAAAATGTTTGGTTGGTCAAAATTTTGTCGGAAACGTTGAATTTATTTTAATGATGCTATGTTTGGTTGAGGATAAAATATAATGGAATAATTATTTGACTCAACATATTATATTTAGAATCTAAGACCCTGGGCAAAAAAAATAAGAGTAAATACCCTTTTTAGTCCCTGGAAATTTTTGCGAAGCACAATTTAGTCCCTCGGTTTAAAAAAGTCACATTCCAGTGTCTGATTTTTGAAAAAAAGGGGACACGTTTATCCTTCTGTTAAATCCAATGTGACGGCCCACTTGACGGACGCCGGCTGGAACGTTAAGTGGCTGAGTCACTAACGTCCTGGCCACGTTGAGAGAAAGGAACGACGTCGTATTACATTGGAAGGCTGTATCAGGTGTGTAGAAAGGGAACGACGTCGTTTGAGGAATGCCATGTGAGTTGAACCTTTGTTGTTGACTCAGTTGACACAATCACACAAGTAAGTCGTCCATACCCGCCATTTCCTCCCCCATTTCCTCAGATCGTGAGTTTCATTTGCGGTGAAGGTTGGTGACCCAGGGTGCTTTGTTGATTTACGTGGCTTCTGAAGTTGCAAGCTTTTGGAAGTAGTGTGGTTTAGGGTGAAGATCCTTAAATCGGTTGTGTCTCTGGTTACATTCGTGCAAGGTACGTGAGATTCTTTCCTTTCTTTATTATCTGTGGTCCCTCTTTCCTATTTAAAATGGTGTTTAAAAATGTCATTTGTCCGTCAAGTGGGTCCCCCATGTGCGGTTAAGGGCAAGACACGGTTAGGGTTTTTTTTATGTGGTCCCCTTTGGTAGAATATTTTTGGAACCATTAATTGCATGTGGTCCCCTGTTGTTATTTTAAGTTGATATGTGTAGTGATTACAAAAAAAGCCCCAATTTGTTAGCAATGCAGCCATTTAAAATAATCGAGTATGTTACTTTTATGACAGTGTCTAATATTGATAAAAATTGATTAGTTGTATGATATTGTAAATTAATATGATGGTAGTGTAAAAAATGATTATGTTCTATTTTATATGCAGATGGATGAGTATATAGTCATGAGATATCATCATGGGGGTGTGTTGGTTAGGAATGATGAAGGGAAGCTGAATTATGTGAATGAGAGAGTGGATGATTTACCAGAAATGGATGGAGACTATGTAAACCTTCGTGACCTTGAAGCTCTGCTCAAGGGGTATGGTTACCACAAATGTAAGGGACCAGCTACAAGCAAGAGAGGGAGGATAGCAGCAGCACCTTCACATGCAGTTAATGTCAACATAGCAGCTCCACATGAAAAGGAGATCCCTCTGAGTCAAGGAGGACCTTCAAGGCAGTCCCAGGCACCTGAGGAAGCCATTAGGGGCAACAGCCCACCACCTACAGCCACACCACCAGCAGAACAATTGTCAACTGAAATTGTCAATGCAACAAGCAGTGGCACAAGGAGCAGGCTTATGGCATTCATGGCCACACCTGGGTTTAGGCCACCAAGACCAGCTTGAATGATTGTTGGATACAGTTTTTTTGTATAGGGTTCACTTTTTTGTTGTATAGGCAACAATGTTCATGACTGTAATTTTTGGTACCCCCATTTTTTTGTATTTAAGACATTTAACTGAAGTATATGCTTTTTTTTTAATCACAATATGTCTCTATCTGGGAGTATTTTGAAGCAAAAAAAAAAAAAACAGGGGAATAGTTTGAAGGATGGTTTAGAATGGTTTATGTGAACCGTAACTTCTGGCAGGCCTTTAATTATGATGGAAGAGTTTTGAATTGTAACTGACTACAAGTTCCATTATGAATGACTACAAGTTCCTTTTTTATATCAGTTTTTTCTCTTTGCTGCGATCTGTATCTGTATGGTGATTTTTGAATTTGTGTATGAGTCTTTTTGATTCTGGCTACAATGCAGGTGGTCCATGTTTGGGTTTTGGTCGTTGCTGTTTGGACACAATTCAATGCAATATGTTCATGTCCAATTTTTGCTGCATTATGCTCTGTACTGTCTGATATCTTTATTGACTACAAGTTTCTTTTGCTGCATTTTTTACTACAAGTTCCTTTGCTGAATTCAATTCTATACTGTCATTTGCTGCAATCTGGCTTATGCTGCAATCCAATGTGTCATGGATTAAAATGCAGGTTTTAAAATGCAGCTTTTTAGTTGCAGCTTGTGTCCAATTTAGTCTAAACAGGTCATGTACAAATTTTAACTGTCAGGGACCAAAACGTGCCCCGGTAGCATTTTTCAAGGACCTATTTGGCCCTTGATACATAATTCCAGGGACTAAGTAGGGGTCTAGTTTAAATCATTAGGTTCCAATATCCAGTTCTCAAATTCCTATTTGCAGCAACAAATTTGACATTTACTGTATTGAATCATGAAGTTAGCATTATACATATAAACACATTTTATACCCCAAATAACAGAACTACATTGCATCTTCTCAACTTTATTCATCACAGTTGTCAGCAAGTCATTCAATTTCATTGAAGAAAAACTACATTTCGTACATAACATTTCATTGTTACAACACTTGCAATCATCACAGCATTCTTTCCTGCACATTCATACTCAGTTCTTGCTCACCAACATTTTGCACCTTCGACCTCCATTCCGTCAGGTTGTTCTACACCCAAAAGACGTAGTCCCACTTCATCCCCCCAAGCCAGATGACATACCCATCTTCTTCTACGCACCAGAAAATAGCCAGTAAACACCTTCTACTTGACATTATTTTCAATCTTCAACAAATTATGTTTTGGGGGTTTTTTTATTCTTAGGTTGATTTAGGGTTTCTAATTTGACAGGGACTATATTGGGTCACTCACCCTTTCGTGCAACAGTCACATGTCCAAACATCCAACTAGACACAAGGGACATATCTAAACGACGTCGTTTTCTCTCCACGTGGCCAGGACGTTAGTGACTCAGCCACTTAACGTTCCAGCTGGCGTCCGTCAAGTGGGACGTCACATTGGATTTAACAGAAGGATAAACGTGTCCCTTTTTTTCAAAAATCAGACACTGAAATGTGACTTTTTTAAACCGAGAGACTAAAAAGGGTATTTACTCAAAAAATAAATACCAAAGAATCAGTGGAATAATTATTTGTGAGATTTTTTTCAAAATACCCATACCAAATATGGTCATTAAATATTTTTCACATCATTTTTCCATCATTTCATACCAAATATCCATACCAAACACCCCAAAGAAAAAAAATGAGTTTCTCGGAGAATTTTTTTTCTACTAATAAAATATCAAATTGTGCGCAACAAACTTTTTTTTTTTTTTTGGTGGGACTCTCATATTTTGTATTTATAGTAGGAGAAAGAACTCAATTACTATATATGAGTATTTATTATAATTTCAACCGTTAATCTTTTAATTAACCATTATAAGTCTCTCTATATTTTTTAAAGTTTACCCTTACTTTAAAGAGTAAAATCCTAAGACGCTTTCTTCCAATAAAATCCGAACCCATCATTTACTTAATAATAATAAAAAAATCAGCTTCGGCAACTAAGCAATCATAGATGCCGTATTACTCACAAGTTCTGGTTGGTTCAGGAAAAATTAATAATTATTATTTGTTTATTTTTTTGAAAAGAAATTTTCATAATCCAGTCAGTGCCCTATAAAAGCCCTTGTGCTTTGAAGTGAATTTCACAATAGTTTTTCATTCATTAATCTTCCCCCAAGAACAACAGAAACAAATGGAACCTTTGCAAAATGGCCTAAACCTATTCGTCAGCAACAAACCTTCTGAGTTGCCTCACTCGAACGGGTCAATTCACCTTAACTCGGTATCTGAAACTAAGGATTTCAGCGACATGGATCCTTCTCGAGCTTTTGTTAACAAGGTCAAGCGTCTGATTGTAAAGGTACTGCTTTTTCTCCCCTTTTACTAAAGGCGAAACTTTTGCCCAAGGCTTTCTAGCGTGTTCTGTAGTTTTTTTTTATTCCCTGTTGTCTTCAAAAAAAAAAAAAGGCGAAACTTTTTCTTCCCTTTTAGTAAAGAAGAAAAAAGAAGCTTTTTTTTGTTTTTTTTTAAAATATTTATATAAGAATTGCCAGTTTCTTCAACAACCAACATGCCATCGTCTTTGTAGCTTTGCGGTTTCATATAGCAGATGCATATTGTAATTTTGTTTTATTTTATTTTTCTATAATATATATATATATTTTTAATTTCGTGTTGTTGTCTCATATTTTGCATATGGATAAAAATCTGCAAAAATTTTAGCCGCACTAAAGCTTTTGAGAAAAAGGGTTTTTTATGTATTACTTTTTTTCAAAAAAAAAAAAATATTTTTTAAAAGGTAAAATTAATTTGTGTTTAAATGTATGATAAAAAAATTACTTTTATATAAACAAATTGTTTGGATCTTAAAATAAAAAAGAATTTTTTATATATAAAATTATTAAAATGGATATTTAATTTTTTTTAACATAATATTTGGGGTTTATGCAAATGTGAAATTTAGAGGATGTGATTTGAGACCGATCAACGTATTAAACCCTTTTGGTTATTATTATTTGATGAGATTTTAACGTTGGAATTTGACATCTTGTTAAATGATCAAGTCAAATTCCTTCTATCTTTTGGAGTTATCTATTTTTTATTTATTTTTTGTATAATAGTGGCAATGCTGTTTAAATTTATAACTTCATGCAAATTATCCAAAATCTTCATCACTAGATCAATTTTAATGGTTTCGGAATTATCTATTTTAAGTATGAAGTTTTGATATGATATTTTCAATAGTTGTTTTGAGGCAAAACAACACAATTAATGCATATTTGAAAATAAATCATCTAATGTAGATATCAAATTATCTTTTGAAATAATGCAATCAGGTATGCATGAGAGAAATGTGTAATTATTTGTGCATATGTGATGTGCAACTGCCACATGATGCAACCAGGTGAGTTGCACACACCCCATATACAACTAGTTTCGAAATATTTTGATCTAGAAAAATGGTCATTTGATCATATTATTTGATTACAATTACTCGTTTAAAAGTCATACACTTTTTTTTTTCTCTTATATCATTATTAATGAATGATTGTAATCAAATAACATAATCACTTTTCTATCTGAGTGGATCTAAATCCAGTTTCGAACAACACTCGTCCACATCTCATAGGATCGTGCCATGATCCTGATCATCTTTTTCAAATTTAAGTATAAATAATATTTTTGTTCATTCCCTCAACATAAATATTAATTAGCGTCACAAATAATTATTTATTTAAATAATAATTAATACAATATGAATTTTTATAAATTTAAAATTGTTAATTTTTCTTTATTAATTATAATTTCATAATAATTTTTTATGAAAAAATAATTAACACAATAAATAATCTCAAATAAAAGTATTATTTTTAGTTCGGTTAGGAGTATTGAAGTCACTCAGGAGTGTTTGGTACAAAGATTTTTTTTAGATTCTCGTGAATGTGACATTGGAAATCTTATTTATTCACATTTGATATAAAGATTGTAAAAAAAAAATTCTTTGTGAATATGGTTTTCCTAGAATTCTGATCGGTGAACACTTTTTAAGGCAAGATTCCATCCAAGAATACCACAAGGGGATGGTATTTGGGATTCTCCAGAGGTGGAAAAATATTTTAGCCTCCGCGCTACTAGCACGGTTATAATGTCCTTAGCGGCAAATAATATTTTCTTCTCATGCCATTAGCGCGGTGATGGTGCCACTAGCGCCAAGTCTTCGAGCAATATTTTCTTCCTCCGCCAATAGCTCGATGACGTCACCATTAGCACTAGCAGTGCAATTTTTAAAATCATCCTACATTCCCAGTAATATTTGACAATCAACCAAACACAAAATCAAGAAACTTGAGCCAACATTCTTGATAATATTTTGGCCTACCAACTTTTTGATCACATTCACGAAAAATTCATTTTTTCAACCTATTCCTGATAATCATAATTTTCAAGCATAAAAAAAAAATTCCTTTACGAAACGCCACCTTAGGTTCTTTGATGCTAAAACTTCCAAGAATATATATATTAAGGGATATGATATTATGCATTCTTTTTTTATGTTTATACTCTTTATACTATTAAATTAGAATCTCAAAAGAAGAGTGAAATGATAAAAGTCAAAAATTCTGATCTAACATTATTGGAAAAGAGTAAATAGACTATGCATAAAAAAAAAAGATAGGTATTATACTTTAGAAAAAATTGTGTATCATTTTAAAAGAGGTAAAATTGTGTCATTTTAAGTGAGAGAAAGAGATGAACAAAGGAGGAGAGAGTGGACAGAGAAAAATAAAGATGTGGGTTTCATCTTTTTGTGAGAGTAAAAAGATATAAGTTGTGTCATTTAAAATGACAAACCATTTTTCTTTTATTTTATCCCAATAAATTAGATACTTATTTAACTCAAACTTCATTAAGTTTAACACAATGGTAAAACAAAAGAATTACGGGGTGTTTGGTACGCGGGATTCTTCAAGAATCGGGGAAACTGAATTTTTCTAAATTTTAAATTTACGGATATTATCATAAACTGAATGTAAAAATCATATTTTTGAAAATTGAGATTTCGGCTAAAAAAAAAAATTCTCCTGGATGTATTGGTTTTAATTATCAATTAAAAAAATTAAACGGTATTAAAAAAAATTGAAAAAAATTCCAAAGTAATGGGAAATTGGTCGAGTAGAAAAGTGACGACACAATAGCATCCGTGATTCATAGGACCCCGAAAGGCCAAAGCCTAGTTTTACACGTGGTAGGTACGCCGCGTCTCTGAAGTCTGCTACTTATGTATCCTCTTCGCATTTAAACTAAACACATTCTTCGTTATAGCCGCTAGCTCACTCGCTCTCACTCACTCACCGAGTCATCTAACTGGTTTATCTCGACTCGGTCCTCTTCGTTTGCATTGCATTGACTCAATGGATCCAACTCGAGCTTTCGTGAAGTCTGTAAAGCGTGTAATCGTCAAGGTCTCGCTTTATTAATAATATTATTATTTTTATTTTTAATTATTTATTTATTATTATTATTATTATTGTTATTAACAATGTACATTGTTAAATCTGAAAACGAAGAAACAAAGATGTTGTAATGTATTTCACTAGTTGAAAGATATGTGTTCGGTTTTTATTCTTTATATTTTCATGATGTTTTAATGTTGTGTCAATTGCCATGTATAGGATTCTTTTTCTTTGTTGCTGGAATTGTATTTTTTGATGTAATGTAAAAATGGAAAAGGGTAGTGAGATCTCTATCTAGAGGAGATTTTAATGCTGTATTAAGCTCTAATTAATTGCACTTGATTTTTAATTCGTTTTGCTTTAACTTTTGATTTACCATTGATTTTTTTTTGTGTGCGTTATTTACTTGTTTTGTTTTAGTTTCTCATTGGTTATATTATTATATTCCTCATATTGAGTAATGTGTACTTTTTTCCCCCTAGTTCTGCAATTAACACATTTATTTCTTGAATCATCTTTATTGAAGGTTGGTACAGCTGTTGTTACTCGAAGTGATGGAAGATTAGCACTTGGAAGACTTGGAGCTCTCTGTGAACAGGTACAATATATATATATATATAGATAAAATCATTTCTATAGCCGCTTTACTTACAACAATGACATGTGTATGGTTATGATTCCCCATAGTTAATGCTTTTATCTTTTGTATGGTTATGATTTCCCGCATTTAATGCTTTCACGTATATATATGGCAAATGTTCGACTGCTGCACCAGCAGCTGCAGAAATATAAACCCTATATATATATATGAAGTTGCAAATCCATGTTGAAAATTGTCACTGAAAATTGATATATCTTTGATATTCCTTACTGTTCATGTATTTGTGTGTGTGTTTTCTTGTCACTGAAAATTGTCTTTCAAACGAAACTGTTGCAGCTTAAAGAACTAAACACTCAAGGGTATGAAGTTATATTGGTGACTTCAGGTGCTGTTGGTGTTGGCCGGCAAAGACTTAGATATCGCAGATTGGCCAATAGCAGGTTCATATAAATTCTCTTTTGCTATGGTGACTCTGTATCTTTTCCAATTCCATGATTCTCCAATTAATAATGGGTTTCATACTTTCATTACTTTGATTTGGAAAAAATTCATAAAAGCTTCAGTTGTAGGTGATGCTCAAAAAAAATAAGAGTTTTTCATGCAATATAAAAGAAATGAAACAAAAATCTGTCTTAAACATAACTGAAAGTACTTAAATTTTTTATCCCCTTCTCCTAGCATGCTTCCCTTTCAGATTACACCAATATAGGGGTTCATGCAAACTTCTTCAATTTTCTATTAATTTGAGGTGGAGTTTAAAGAGATAAAGGGCGATAATAATGAGCTTTAAATGAATTGTTGTCATGCAGTTTTTCTGATCTTCAAAAGCCACAAGGTGAGCTTGATGGAAAAGCGTGTGCTGCTGTTGGGCAGAGTAGTCTCATGGCTCTCTATGATACTATGTTTAGCCAGGTTGACACCAAACTAAGTTTGTTATCAATTATGCTCCCAATCCAATATACTTGTTTTTTTACCCCTTAATGCATTAGCAGGTGCTTTTATGTTTTCTCCATATTGATACTGATAAGAAATTTTCCTGGTGCAGCTTGATGTGACTTCTTCCCAACTTCTTGTGAATGATGGATTCTTTAGGGATGTAGGTTTCAGAAAACAACTGTCGGACACAGTGAACTCATTACTAGATTTAAGGGTTATCCCCATTTTCAATGAAAATGATGCTGTTAGTACCAGGAAGGCACCATATGAGGTATGCTAATTTTTCTTGCCACTATTTCATTTAAAATTATCTCTATTTTTTTAGTTTTAAAATGTTTAATTTTGCTTTTGATAACTGTCTTTCCTTAGTTTATTGTCAGAGTATAGTCAAACTGCCTAAGTCAAAACTGTTTATGTTACATCAACAATATGTTTGATTTTATTGGCTTTGTGATATGTACACTAACAAAAACAAAACATAGGCTACATATGGTTCTTTCTAATAATTAATAACCTTTAATTGTAAGCACTGCCTGCAGGATTCTTCTGGTATTTTCTGGGACAATGACAGTTTGGCTGGTCTATTAGCTCTTGAACTGAAAGCTGACCTCCTTGTTTTATTGAGTGATGTTGAGGGCCTTTATAGTGGTCCTCCAAGTGACCCTAACTCAAAGTTAATTCATACATATGTAAAAGAGAAACATCAAGCAGAAATCACTTTTGGAGACAAGTCAAGATTGGGAAGAGGGGGTATGACTGCTAAAGTTAATGCTGCTGTTTGTGCTGCTTATGCTGGCATCCCTGTGATTATAACTAGGTACCTAACATTTTGTGCTGTGTTTTTATTTATATAGCAAAATTCTTGCACTGAAGATAACTATTTTTCGTGTTTCACTTTGATACCATAGAGAAATGGTTTGTAATTAATTCGTTTTTGGTTTGACCACTGATGGAGTCACCTACTCATTCTGAATTGTAAAATTGTGGACAGAGGATCAGGAAAAAAAAGAGAGGAATAAATGAGATTCTCTTATGAACTGGTTTGCAAAGGATTATTCCTTTTCCTTTTTGAAGCTGTGTTAAAAACTTGGTAGGGATAGCTTTGCCACCCTTGTGGTATTGCTCATCTAGATCAGATTAGTTGATTAGTCGATGAAATGGTAAAAAATCTCAAAAAAAAAATAAAAAAAATCATCAATGGCAAAGGAAAATAAATGCCCCCTTTTTTAATACTACATCTAAAGCAGTTCATAGATGTCAGTTGAGCTGGCAATGGTATTTACTTAAGTGTCAATTATGTTGAAAATAGTTCAACTGATGAAAAAAGATTCTGATTTCTGTTGTGAGCAATAATTTGCATGTATTGCATAATTTCAAGTATGCATTTGAATTTTGCATTTTATTGACTTTGAAATGTATTTCAACCTCCTTTGAAGTGGCTATGCTACAAACAACATCATACGAGTGCTTCAAGGGGAAAAAATAGGTACTGTGTTTCATAAAGATGCTCATTTGTGGACCAACATAAAGGAAGTGAGTGCGCATGAAATGGCAGTTGCAGCACGTGATGGTTCTAGAAGACTTCAGGTAAGTTCAGTTACATAATTATGAGTGCTATAGGCCTGCTTTACTTACATCGATATAAAATTAAGTGGTGATTTACTTTGTAATATTTTTTTGTTATTCCCAAGACAATGAACTGAAGTAGGGTAGTAGTCATTGGAATTATATTGTTGTTTTCGGTTTCAGGTCTTAAAATCTGAAGAAAGGAGGAAAATATTGTTAGCAATGGCTGATGCACTGGAGAAAAATGAGAATATGATAAGGCTTGAGAATCAGGCTGATGTTGCTGATGCTGAGGAAGCTGGATATGAAAAATCTCTGATATCACGTTTAACCCTAAAACCTGAGAAGGCAAGAACTTTAATTGGTTTCATACTGGAGTTAAATATTGAAGGATAGCATACCCAACTTTCTGTTGTTGTCATTGTGTAACTCTGATTTCTCACGCTCTAAAGCATGGTTCTGTGAGCATGTTTTTGTATGACCTTGATTTTTGTACTTTACAGATCTCTAGTCTTGCAAAGTCTGTACGCATGCTGGCAGATATGGAAGAACCAGTTGGTCAGATTTTAAAGAGAACTGAGGTCAAAACCCCTTTTATTTTATTTGAAGGAGGATATCTTATCCTCCTAACTATTTGTATTCATTTTCTTCTTTTTTCTTGTCTTAATGAATTTCTTATTTCATGAAAAAAGAAAAAAACTCATGAGTAACTTGAAATTGGTGATGTGATATTGTAATATTCAACATTTTCCTGTTTTAACATGTTTAAAGTATGTAATATGTTTCCAGAATTTGGTAATATAACAAATTCTGGAGTGGATTTTGTGACTTGTATTCATTAATTTTGATCTAAAAGAAAGTTATAGCCACTCATTGCTTTGATCCAAATATGAATAATGTTATTAAACTATACATTGTACTGTTCACCACATTTTGACAGTTCTGATTGCTGCTCTCTGTGTTCAGCTAGTAGATAAACTCATCCTGGAGAAAATATCTTGTCCTCTGGGTGTTGTCCTGGTTATATTTGAGTCTCGACCCGATGCCCTTGTTCAGGTTAATTTAACATTTCCTATTCCTTCTTATCCATCTTCAATAAACTGCTGAGAAATACAAAGATATGAGCATGATTACAAGTTATCCATCTAGTATTCTAGTTTAAGTCGATTGTGTTTCACCATATCATCAAATTTGAATCTATCCTTTTAGTTTATGCAATCTTCTGACTCTACTTTTACAGATGAAGTACTTTGTTTGGATTTGTTTAGTTGTTTTGGATATTGATCTTTAAGTTGTTTGTTTAAATGGATTAATAGATAGCTGCATTGGCAATTCGAAGTGGGAATGGTTTACTGCTTAAAGGTGGAAAGGAAGCGCGACGATCAAATGCTGTCTTACACAAGGTTTGTCTATTTATTTTAGTTGAGGCTTCTGTTTTATATGATTAATCTATATCAGAATTCAGAATGGACTCTCGTTTCTTTGTCATCTTTAGTTATAATTTTACAAATATGTTTCCATCTTTCATTTTTCTTCTTTATTTTAGGTCATTACTTCAGTCATGCCAAAAACTGTCGGTGACAAACTAATTGGGCTTGTGACTTCAAGAGAAGAAATTCCAGATCTACTCAAGGTGGATATTACAAGTTAAAATCCTCTTCATTATTTTTTCTATGATGATTTTCCACTAATTATGCTCTGCCACAGCTTGATGATGTGATAGATCTTGTGGTCCCTAGAGGAAGTAATAAGCTTGTTTCTCAAATCAAGGATTCAACAAAAATTCCTGTTCTTGGTCATGCTGGTAATGTTCCACATAAATCTCCTATGTTTAGACTTTTTACTTCGAAATTAGGCCTTTTATTGAATTTGTTATTTTTGTTATGCAGATGGAATTTGTCATGTTTATGTTGACAAGTCTGCTGATATTGATATGGCAAAGCAGATTGTTAGAGATGCAAAGACTGATTATCCTGCAGCCTGCAACGCAATGGTAAATTAGCATTTACATCTTTTGCAATGCCCCTAGTAAAACATGTTCATCTACATCCTCCTCTCCTTTTGGGTTTTGCTGACTTGTTAGTATGCTGTGATGTGAATGGAATTTATGGACTGTGCTCATTAAAATATTTTCTGATATTCTTAGGAAACTCTTCTAGTACACAAGAATCTGTCAAGTAATGGTGGACTTGATCAGCTTGTCCTTGAACTCCAACGTGAAGGTTTGAGATTACTTACAAAGGGATTTATAATGAAGATATTTCGTTTTTATTTTTGCTTTCATTATAACCCCCTTTTATGAGATTGGAAGAGTTTTGATATATTACTTTTATGATATTTATTTTGTTGTAGTGCATTCAAGATAATCATTCTGGTGGATTCTTGAAGTCATTATTCAGAAGAATAAAGAAAAAGGAGTTTTATCTGGAGACTAGTTTTCAAAGAAAAAAATTAATGAGTAATACATATTGTGGGCTTATTTATTAAGAGAAATAAAACACAGTTAGGTTATTCATATAGTAAAGGCAAGAATAAAAGTTGAACTGCTTTCATAAAAAATAATTGAAGATGATTTGTTTGTTCTGAGGCAATTAGTTTTAGAGTTTAAGAAACTGAAATGTAATATCTTTTCTTAATGATTGGACATGTATGGTGCAAGCAATGTCCATCCTAATTGGCTTCAAAATTGAGAAAAATATGTATAAACAAAGATAAAATGGCTTGCAGGTGTTCAACTTTATGGTGGACCAAGAGCCAGTGCCTTTCTGAATATTGCTGAAACGAGCTCTTTTCATCATGAGTATAGCTCACTTGCTTGCACAGTTGAAATTGTAGAAGATGTATTTGCTGCCATTGACCACATAAATCATCATGGAAGGCATGTTGGTGTCCTCTGAATAAAATTTCATTTTCATTCTCTATATTATTAATATTAGTGTATCTAAAAGTCTTTCTTACTTTACTGTATCTGCAGTGCTCATACTGAATGCATTGTTACAGAGGACCGTGAAGTTGCTGAGACTTTTTTATCTCAAGTTGACAGGTATGTAATTTTTGTTGTTGTCAGTAACCTTGTTTAAACTCAACTACTCTATGAATTAGTCATGTTACTTAACTTGATATTGTTGATTGTGGAATATCTGAATTTTTGCATTATGCACAAACAGTGCTGCTGTATTACACAATGCAAGTACACGGTTTTGTGATGGAGCACGCTTTGGGCTTGGCGCAGAGGTAGTGTATCTTCCAGAAAGCATGTTGTTATTAGTAGCATAGATATTTTTTATTTTCTCATCTGTTCTTGGATCAATTAACAGGTTGGAATAAGTACAAGTCGAATTCATGCTCGAGGTCCTGTAGGAGTTGAGGGATTGTTGACAAACAGATGGTATGGAAATCTGCACACGTCTGTAGGCTTTTCTTTCAATGAAGAAAATAGATGTTCAACTGAACAAATATGCAATCATTGATTTTTTTCTGTTGTGTCTGTTCTATGCTTAATTTTATTTTTACTTCAACAATGTTATTTGCATATCATTTTTATCACACCATTCTTTATACCACTTCCTGGTTTGGGCAATAAACCATGACAAACACACACTATCTTTTTTTTCCACCTCAAATAAGGTGCAAGGAATGGTGTGAAAAAAAAAATATGGTGTGCAAGAAACATTTTCCTTGTTACTTTCTCAATCATGCATACTTGTGAAGAAGGCAAGCTTGGAACAGTGGTAAAGTTGCTCCTTTGTGAGAAAAAAGTCAAGGGGAAATAACTTTTTTGCAAATAAGCTAGCTGCAGGGGTAAAGTTGTATTCAAAGATTGCTCTCACCCAACTCTCGCTAGTTGAGATTTAATGAAGTGGTTTTTTTATTTTTTAATCATGCATACTTGTCTAGTTTATTTTCTTTGATGTCCTCCCATCTGTTCTTCATATCCAAGAAGTCCCTTTTTTAGTAATTTAGGCTATGAAATTTCGAGACCATGTATATTCGCTTATTTTTATTTATATTTTGTGGATATAATGCAGGATATTGAGAGGGAGTGGGCAAGTAGTAGATGGTGATCGAGGGGTCAATTATACTCACAAAGAACTGCCACTAAAAGCATAGCTTTTTATGCAGAAATTAGTTCGAGTTCATGCTAATATGCTCACCTTATCAAAGCCACAACTTTTTTCTGTTCAATTTTAATATACAGAAGGTTGCTGAGATGCTGGCTATGTATAATTGTTATCTATCATTTTCCCCTTTCAAGAGCCTTTTTCATACATGGAGCAAGTTCAAGGGGGAGAAAATAATCATATGAAGTGTTATTATTATTCCAGTATGCACTTTGTTGCTCTTTCATAAAATATCCCAAGATTGTAAAACAGCATAGCTGTGACAGTCATAAATGTATTTACTACATCCTTGTGAAGTTGAATAATATGGAGTTATTCTGAGAGTTATTATTTTAGAGAATCTACTTTGTTTTATGCAGAATCATGACCTTGATCTGGAAAGCAGTGGTGTCATTTAAGGATCTCAGCAATATCCATGTCTTTGTGTGAAAACCTTGTCTTTTGACTGAATTACACTATCGTAATTGAGCATTTTTTTTGTTTTGGTAAATTCGTAATTGAGCCTTTACATAGCTTCTATATATATTTGTTAGAGAAATATTATAATCCATTAAAAAACCTTCATCAAGCAAATTAAGCTTTAGGGTTTAATTGGTTCTTTACATGGTATCAGAGCTTCAGTGACCACGAGGTTACGAGTTCGATCTTCATCGCCCCTCTTCCTCTATTTTCTTTTATGGAATTTCTTAGTACAGGTAGGTTGAGTCTGATGCATCATTCATCCTTTAAATTCAATGGGCTCTAGTGTGAGAGGCGTATTAGAAAAATATTATAAATCATTAAAAAGCTCTCATCCAACGACTTAAGCTTTTGAGTTGAATTGATTTTTTACATATATCACTAAATATTTGTGTGCAGTTTCCTTATTTTTGCAATTATTCTGGTAGTCATTGACACAATGTTATGATGATAAAATTGTGGTAAGCAAGAACAGTCTGGATTGAACGGGAGAATGGAAATTATGTTTGGTCTTTCCTGAGAAAAGATAGAAAGTAGAAACATTTTACCAGAAACATAATAGCTGAAACAACTAAGCTTCATACGATAAATTTGTCGAAATACTAGGCAATTTGCCTGAACTAAGTATGGTGAATAAATGAGGATGAAAACATGTTTATCAACCATGCGAGCCAGAGGTAATGATGGTTGATAAAGGTTGTTCTCTTGAAGTGAATTTGCAAATAGAGATAAAGAGATGCCAATAGGGAGTGATGGCCAAAGAGACCAGGTGAAGTTGAAGAAGCACTTGAGGAGTGGAACGAGGTACTCCTTTATTTAAAGTAGTAAAAAGTATGATTCATGTGACGTTAACTATAAAGGAGGGGTAGAATAAATAATAGGGAAAAATGGCCAATTGCTTTAAAATCATTTATGCGCCTTGCTACGTAAGAATTAAAAAATCACAGGGGTATATGTGATAAAAAATATATTCTTTTGTAAACCACTGGAGTATGTGATAAAAAAAATTATAGAAGCATAGATGATTCTGAAGTAAATCACAGGTGTATTGATGAAATTTTCCCTAAATAATATTAGCTGTGTTGCTTTTTTTCATTTTTAGTATGTGATATATCGAGTATTATCTTAGGAGAGTACTATAAATTTTTTTAAATTTTTTTTCTGAAGAGCAAGCAAGCGAGTGTCACGTCTAATAGATGAAAGAAAAATCAGATAAAATCCCGAAAAAGAATGGGGCAGAGATCTTAGAGGGAGTATTTCAAACTCCAATTTTTAATTTAGACATCGTTGTAGTTAATATATTTATAACTCTTCACAACATTTGTCAAATTATATTTCATTTATTTTAATTTAGAGGAGGCATATCTAAGACAAAAGATTCTTATACCATTTAAGAAGGCTTTTTCACCTTTTTGCCCCTTATTAATTATTTAATAACTATTTTGTCCCTTATTGCAAATTATCTACCAATATGTCCCTCTTTTATCGATTAAATTGAATATTTAATCGATTAAATGGTCAGATGAAGATTTAATCGATTAAATCTTTAACTTAATCGATTAAATTTTCCTCTTTATCAGAAGAACAACCTTATGCATGAGAGATTTAATCGAATAAATAGGGAGATTTAATCGACTAAATCTTCAAGTCAACGATTTTTGCCTATTTTGACCATTTAATCGATTAAATTTTTGGCTTAATCGATAAAAGAGGGGCAGATTGGTAGATAATTCTGAATAAGGGACAAAATAATTATTAAATAATTAATGAGGGATAAAAGGATGAAAAAGCCATTTAAGAATTTTATATAGAATGTGTTTTTCATCGATTCAATCTATTAGGCTATTTGACCATTTAATCTTTAATTAAATAAAAAATAATTATTTTGTCCCTGTTCCAAAACTAAATACCCATCTACCCTAATTTAATTGATTATATTATGGGAAAAACTAATATTATGTTGTAGGAAAGTTCTTAGGTCATGTCATAGAGACAAGAGATTGTGAGGTCCACTATTTAAAAAAAAAAAAAAAAAAAAGTAAAAGAATTGATGGGCCCACTTTTATGTTTGTGTAGGAAGATGGCTTGTGTCATGTAAAAGGAAGAAAACGTTACCCTTATATTATATATGTAATCGATTAAGTGTCGAAAATTCATTTTAATCGATCAAGTGTCGAAATAGCGTCGAATGGAAGTAGTTCACGTTGGTGACGAAATGCCTGCTATCTCTCTGCACTTTGTCCAAACCTTTCATTTATTTTATTTGATTCCCCAAATCTGGCCAAGCAACATAACCAAACCGATCCCCACATCACCGGTCTTACACACCGCCAAGCTCACTGTTGATTTAATTATCATTGTTAAACCTCTTCAAAACATAGCCACCTATCACTTACAACCCACCATAGCCATCGTCTCACACAAAGCCACCGTCGAGCAAGCCACCCACCACCAGCGAATACATTTCAGCTAAACCCCAACCCACACGACCGAGACCCACCAAGAGTCACTAGATTTGGGGAATCAAATAAAATTTATAAAAAGCTTGGGTTTGAATCTAAGCAAATAAAACAAATAAAAATAATACAATAAGAAAAAAAATAAAAAGAGTAAATACTGTTTTTAGTCCCTGACAATATCCACGAAGTCCTTTTCAGTCTCTAGCAATAAAAAAGGGACAAATTGGTCCCTGAAATAACAAAAAAGAGGTCACGTTCATCCTTCCGTTAAATCTCACCTAACATGTTATCAAAAAAAAAAAAAAATCTCACCTAACAGCCCAACTAACGGTGCACAGTTAGCACGTTAATTTGCTGACGCGGCTTGGATGTGAGACACCGTGAAAGACGAGACGACGACGTTTTGGTCCCTATCAAAACCACGAGGCCATTTTGGTCCCTGTCAAAATACACGAGGACGTTTTTAGTCCCTGACAAAAAGCACAGGGCCCTTATTGGTCCATAACCAGAGAAAAATAGGCACATGACTTCATTGCTTTTCTATGCAATCCAATTTTGCAAAACAGAAGTGCATTACATCAGAAACAGGAGTGCAATCCATTTGTTCATCACAAAGTAATTAAACTAAATTTCATCACAAAGTAAAATACTCATTCTTGGCATTTTATTTCAATGAAGTTTGTGTTTCTAACTGAAGTTTCGACGTTATTAACGATTATTCATTTCTTTTTCAATGTTAATTAAGCTTCCCACTTTGTTAAAAGGGATTCTTGGCTCTTGCAAACAGCTTTTACGATCCCTAGAATACTATAAACTGCTTTAATTCTCTTAGTCTGTATAAGACATAGCGTTATGCGATTTACGAACAATATCTTCAGTAATGTAGCATTACAATTATACTATTTATTTTTCTATAAAAGATAATTGCATGATTGTTGATATTTAAATACAGAGAAAAATCAGAGAAGAAGTCAGGTAAATGATTGTTGATAATTGCAATGCATGGCAGTTGACTGGACTGCAGCAGTTGGTAGTTCTCAGCCACATGAAGGCAACTTGAGAGGAAGCAGCCCACCTCCATCAAATTCACAACAGGCAAATGAGCTGTTGAGTAATGAAACAATGAATGCAGCAACCAGTGGCACACGAAGCAGATTATTGGCCTTCATGAGCACACCTGATTTTAGGCCACCAAGGCCTGCCTCAAGAAAATGACCTGCTGCTGTATATGACCTGAGAGTAGTGCATGAGCCAACTGAGAAGGGTTTATTATTATGTGACTGACTTTTTTTGAAAATTCTGGCCATTATGTATTTGGAGGCCTTATTATGTCAATATTTTTTTTTTTTCTTTTTTGTAAATTCTGGCTATATTGTATTAGAAGTCTTTCTTTTAATTCCTACAGTTGGCTTTATTTTGTAATGCATTATTGTACATCCATGTCTTCAAATATAATGATACTCAAATCATGTTCCAGCTATTATGTTTCACAGGGTTGATGAATGTTTAAGTTTACCATTTTTGATGTTTTTTTAACTAATATACGTAGTTGTAGTTCTTGTACATCCATGTCTTCTGGTTTAACAAATTGGACTGCATACAAATCCAATTTAATGTCATGTTCTTGTTTTGCAAAATTGGATTGCACTCCTGTTTCTGATGTAATGCACTTCTGTTTTGCAAAATTGGACTGCATAGAAAAGCGACGAAGTCATGTGTCTATTTTTCTCTGGTTAGGGACCAATAAGGGCCCCGTACTTTTTGTTAGGGACTAAAAATGTCCTTGTGCATTTTGACAGGGACCAAAATGGCCCTTGTGGTTTTGACAGGGACCAAAACGTCGTCGTTTCGTCTTCCACGGTGTCCCACATCCAAGCCGCGTCAGCAAACTAACGTGCCAACTGTGCACCGTTAGTTGGGCCGTTAGATGGGAGTTAACAGAAGGATGAACGTGGCCTCTTTTTTGTTATTTCAGGGACCAATTTGTCCCTTTTTTTATTGCTAGGGACTAAAAAGGGCTTCATGGATATTGCCAGGGACTAAAAATGATATTTACTCAAACAAAAAATAGTTGAGAAGCTCGGCTTCCAAGTCTCTACATCTTCTCCCTTCTCAGTGTTTAAAAGCTTACTATTTCTTTCTTACCAAAACCTTATGCCCAGTAGTTTCAAACTTTGTCTTTGAGTACACACGAAGTTGTTCAAACACAAAAGAGCTTAATTTGTGTCTTTTCTTACAAATACTAGAGATCGAGGTTGAAAAAGAAGATTTGGGTTTGAGTGCCTCTTTGCAATTTTTTTTTTAAGCTAGAAGCTACTTATAAGTAGAAGTTAGGCCAAATAGGTTTTGAAAAAAGTTCTTATAATGAAAAAATCTTTTATTATAATGAAGAAAAAAGTTAAAAGCTAAAAGCTCCTATAAGGAGCTAAAAGCTCTTTTTTTAAGCTCTTATAAGCTTTTCTTGAATTGTGTACTTTTGTTTTAAATGAAGAGCTATAAAGATAGATAGAAAGAGAGTTTTTTTGAAATATGTGTTTTTAAGTAACTTTTAAGTTAAAAAATTTATGTAATCACCAAACAGCTTTTGACTATTTTTTCTTTAAGCTCTTCATATGTTGATTCATATGCCCAAACCATCAACATATGAATCCTCCTCTTTTCTACTTTTTTCTCCTATCCTTCAGTTTGTAATCCTCAAAAACCCTCTGCATATCTGAAGTATAATTTTTGAAACTTAATCGATTAAAATGAATTTTCGACACTTAATCGATTACATATATCATGTAATCAATTAAACTAGGGCAGATGAGATTATAGTTTTGGGACGGGGACAAAATGGTTATTTTTTATTTAATTAAGGATAAAAGGGTCAAATAGTCGAATCTATTACCTTAATTGTTTGTTTCAAATTTAATAAAAATTGAACAACAATAAAAATAAAATGCCATCTTTAGACTCAAACTGAAGCTTCAACAGTGGCATTGCTTAATATAATTGCTCTCTTAGTTATTCCCAAAAAGTAATTCATCAACTAATGGGTTACTACTTACTATTATTCTTCATCACAACTTCAAGTGAAAAATACTTGTCTAATTGTTGGCCATGATAAGCCTCTGTTAACAACATGCACATATATTTATAGGGAAATACTTTTCTTATGTTGTAGGTAAGTAATTACTTTATGTTATAAAGATAAAATTACAAGTGGGACCCACAGGTAAGAGGAGAGAGAGAAAAGAGTAGTGGAACCCAATCCTTTTTTGTGTGTGTAGAAAAGTTGTTTATCTTATATAAAATGAAATAAACATAACTCATATTTATATGACTCGAAACAACAATAGGTCATATCACAATATCATATAATAAACCTTGAAGTCACTGTTAAGTTGTAACAACTTAAATTGGGGGCTTATAGCATATAACATAATCTTGTTCTCCCTGCTTTGACATGATTCATTCAAACAACAAAAATATTATCCACATTTCCCTTTCATACACAACACTTACAGTCTTTGAGCTTTTGCATAACCTTCTAGGTTCTTGATTGACTATTAACACACTTCAAGGAAGTTCAACTAGATGATGGATTTTGACATGTTTATATGTCTCACAATCTATTGTAACTCATATGATGAAAAACTGAAACCCAATCTTCCATCATTTGTGGACTTCAACTCAAGCTTCTGAAAAGGGCTGCATAGTGTCCATGAGTTTTATGTCAAAAACTTTCTAAATATGTAAAAGAATGAATGGTAATGAAAAAAAGCAGAATGATCTGACAAGCACATATAAATGACTCATAAATATACTGAATAAAAGAATTGGAAATGGAAAAGGAGAATACCTGCTATTGGGATCATAATAGAACCCACTGATAGAGCCATCACTGCAAGAGAAACAAACATAGTAAAACCCAGCTATAGTTAACCCACAGTCAGTTCCAACATTCACAAAGTACTGCTCCTTCCATCTCTGCAACAAAGAAGTTAAATCAATTGTCAAAGTTCTAATTTCAGATACAATAAATTCTTTCAACATTTTCATTTTCTATTAGTGAAAATCAATTTACCATGAATATGTAAGGATAGTTGCTTAGATCCAAGGACTTGCCACCATCAACTTCCACTTGGCCCTGGAAATCTGAAGCGCATTAGAAATGGTTCATATGATGCATCTTGCACAAGACAGCAAAGTCTAGGTCATTACCGATAGGCGAGAAAAGGATGGAAACTTAGTCCAGTGCCTTATATCATCATCTGGTCTGTAAAAACAGAAACAAACAAACAAAAGTTTATCAAAGCATAAAGAGCATATCTGCCGGTAGATACAAAGCAATTTAGTGGTATTCCCACTAGTATGTCGGGCATCATAAGTATTTATACAAATTAAGCTCCATAATTGATTTAAGAGTTATTGCATAAAAACATACGTTGCCTCCCATTTGCCAGTGAAGAATGTATAATTCTTGCTATCAACAATCTCCCCTTCCCAAAATGTTACTACCTGATATAAATCATTAAAGACAATGTGAATAACATGGTGATTTTTCTTTCATTCTGAAAACCTCCAAGCACATATACAACCAGGGCATATGAGGCAAAAACTCTCAGAAAACTTTGTGATTTATGTCCAACAATATACTTGTTCTACATGACAACAACATTCAAGGGTATTTTGAAGCAGGAAAAGTATAAATCTATTGTAGTTTCAATTTAAATTGCATCACTGAACATGTTATACCCGGTAACGAAACAAAATATGTTATTTCCACTAAAGGGATAAAAGAATAGAAACTGATTTCTGGCAGGATCTTATTGGTCACTGCAGCAATATAAAATGAGAATAGTGATTATTAACTAAGCAAATTAATAAGAAAATAATTACTGTGTAAAATAGCTATGACAAGTTCTAGCATACAGTGGGTTAATAACAATCTAAAAATTCAAAAGGTCACTTAGCTACTTCAGTACTTAACAAAAACCACTGTATGTCACCAATGGAAGAACAAACGTCATAATTGCATGTATATGAACAGTTTATTAGATACATAAAAGGATAGATTATTATGATAACAAATTTACTACAGATTGATGCTGTCCTAAATCTTCAGTTTCCAATTCGTGACAATCAGTAATTAACACAACAAAGAGTTCAAATTAAACTAGAACAAAAGTCATAAACATGTTGCTTTTTTGTTTCTTTTTCAGATAGATGAACAATAAAGAAATTGCTTACCGGAGTGTCTGCCATAGGAACATTAAGAGCTTCCATGGTGCCACATAGATACCCATGCTCAAGGTCACATCCTTGTATACGGACATTCACTCTCCACGCTTCATCCTTTTGTAGGCTCGAAACATTCTGGGTGCCAGAAAAGGCCTGTAAATATAAACACCATGAGTACATACTGGAACTTTGAACTTATAACAGAACATACTGGCTGGAAGACAAAAGATGTGAAATCTAATTAAGTAGTTTAAAAGTTGAAGTTGTTTACTCCAGGATTATGAAGTATGGGTATGGCAACCAGCAAGGCATACATGTACTGGATATGTATATAGTACAGGTATGTGCACAGTACACCCATGTATGTACCCAGAATAGCTGGGTTATTTTATTTTGGCTTTTTCTCAAATTCTGGATACAGCTAGGGTACCAGCCATTACTGTTTGCCTCCAAGCTGAAACATCTCGAAAATTCACCAAAAGCTGTGTTTGGCCATGTTTCCAAAATCAGAGTATCAGCTCCGTAATTCTATTTGAATATTGAAATAAAAAAGTCTCCCCTCACCCATGGTGCTGGGTTACAGACCACAACCATTCAATCATTACCCTGTCCAGTCAGCTGTAAAATGTTTATTGTATTGGTTTGGGATTCATCAATAAATTTATTTTATTTTATTATATTTCTGCAAAAAGGTTGAGGGCGAGCCTTGGAGTAGCAGCAAGATTGCTCCTTATGACCCAAAGGTCAGGGGTTCAAATCTGAAAAACAACCTCTTTGCAAAAATGCAAGGGTGAGGCTATGTACAATCCTCATCCTTACCCTCGCAAGTCGGGAAGTCTTATGCACAGAAGTTTGACCTTTGCCCTTTATTTCTGCAAAAAGGTTGATGAAGTATTACATTACTGAACATGTTTTTATCTTTTATATTTCTTGAGTTTTATGAAAATTTGAGTTTGAATATTATTATGTTAATGAATGAAATTTAATACTTTTTTTATTTATATACACACTCCTCTGCGCGTATCTTAATTTTTTTTTAAAAATTCCATACTCCATATCCATACGCATACCAGTATGGGTACCGTACCTGTATCTATGCAACCTAGCTCTAAGACAACATTTCTATACACTATCCATTAAAATGACCAGATAGTAGTAGCTTCTCTCCCATCTACCCATCCCAAGTTCTCGAGTACAAACAGAGGAAAAAAGAAATAAAACTTCAGCAGTACTTCTAAATTATGATTTCATCAGAACCTGTTGACAATAGCTGTTAAAGGACCACTGTAAATAATAAGAGGCATCAATACAAGTCCAATAGAACAAATTAAGTTTGTAGTTATTGTTAGAGAATAATATAAACCATTAAAAAGGCCTTCACCCAACACCTTAATGTTTTGGGTTGATTTGGTTCTTTACATGGTATCAGAGCCTTGGTGTCCCGGGTTCGATCCTCGCCCCCCCCAATTTTCTTTGTGGAATTTCTTAGCACAGGTAGACTGGGTCTGATGCATCATCCACCTTTCAAGCTCAATGGGCTCTCTTGTAAGTGGGCATGTTAAAGATATATAAAATCATTAATGTAGCCTCACCCAAAAGTTTAAACTTTTGGGTTGAATTGGTTCTTTACAGTTATTATAGCCAAAGGACTTGAAAGTATTGTTTTAAGACTCACTGATATGCACAATTTACCCTTATTCACTAGATAACTGATTTTCATCGCATTTAGAATTAAGAAACTTTTATGTAATACATTAGTATGGAAGATATAATCCCTATGTCGTTCTGTTTAAGCCAAACTTTACATAGCAGTCCTACACCAGGATAAAAGAGGACGGCAGTGCTAGGCAATCAGCAGCCAACCAAAACCTTGGTGAATCCTCTATGACATTGATCAATGATTAGCCAACCCATCTAGTTGTATAAGAATTAGTTGCTGTCGTTGTTGTTGTATCACAAACACAATACATATCATAACCTAGCTAATTAGCTAATTTTGAGACTTCAAGCGGGTGTGCTTAATTAATTGCTATTAAACAACATGGAACTGGAATCCTTTCAATGCTGACCTCCTACTCAGAAATTGACTACATAAAAACATTTCATATCACATACTCTATCTCTCAGTCCTTTGAAAGGTATTAAGGGAGGAAATAGAAGAAAACTACTGCTCACTGAACAAAGATGAAGTGAAAATGGGCATATTATAGGTAAGTAAAGTCATTTCACTCCAATCGACCCTCTCACTTCCTTTTCTCACCTATTCCTGTCAGGATCTCAGTTTCTTGAGATGAATTTATATGTTCAAGTAAAGAATCATAAACTCACTATACTATGTGATAGAAGTTTAAGTAATTTCCGTTCCCACAAATAGCTGACAATTCATCATCCTTACAATAGGTGACAATCATAACAGATACAAAAATCTACTACTGCCATTAAGATCTGATATTTGCTCAATCATATTTACCCAATGAATGTCAGCATCAGGTACCCACATATATTCCCATCATCAAAGGCTAGTCCTGTTTGCTAATTTGAAACCAATTATCACTTTGATCAAACCCAGAATGACTATTTGCACCAAAATACTATACAAAGCATACATTTTTCAGGGCATCTTAAAGAAGTATTAGATTCTCTATGTTCCATTCATTAGACATTGGATATGCAAAAATAAAACCTTAAACAAAGAACCCATTCCCTAAGAAGCTTTTTCTTTGTCTTCCTTTCCTTTCCATAATCCTCATTTTCTCCAAGATCCAGACTTCAAAACTCTAGCAGAATAAATATGAAAAAAGAAATAAAAAAAACATGCAAAAGTACCTGCCCAACGCCTAGAAGACTACAAGATTGGAATGAACTCCGACCCGAATTTGCACCTAACACAAACAATCAAACGAGAAACATAAAGAGTTAAAATAAGACGAATTCAGAACATGCCCACTTACCAAAAAATAGAGAAGAACACCAAAAGGAAAAAAAAAAAAGTTTGCATTTTTTGATAATTGCAGCATGATATGAGAAATGATGAACGGTGAGAAAAGCTAGTTACCTGAAACCTGAGAAGGTGTGGTGTTCTCCAATACTCTCACAGGCATATTTATTAAACTGAAACAAGTTTCGTAGAATGATGAATTAGATTTGAAGGATCAAGCCATGCCATTCTCGTATTGTCACTGAAGAAAGATGGGGAAGATGGTCATAATTGAAATTTCAGGCCCAAAGCTGAAAAGCCCACTTTAACCTTCAATTACATGTAAGCCTACTAAAACTTAAAAATACCACTCAATTAAAGTATGAAATGGTTACATTTTAAACCTTTGTTAAGAGGGGAATAAACAAAACCAAATTGATTAAATTGCAAAAATTTTTATCCGCAATGTACTTAATTGTATTTAGTGTTTTTTTGTCAAAAAATACCCAATACTTTTAATTGTAACAATTAATCCTATTATATGATCACATTTTACAATTAAACATATTTTGCAATTTCAAGAAAAAATTACCTATCTTTTCAGCCTTTACCGATCATACCACAACCTTTATCTGTCACTGGCCATCCGGCTGACAATTCCTGTTATGTTTATGCAACACAAGAAACTTCAATTCGCCAAGTGTTGTCCATGTGACACATGTTGAGACTTCTCCCTACAGAAAGGAAAGCAAGTGGAACAATTTTTGCCGAAACGATGATTGGCGGTGGACTATCGAGGAGGTTGCTGACATGGAAGGAGAGGGAGAATACTAAAAGGAGAGAGAGAAGACAAAGAAGGATTTTTGGTAAGATCTATATAAGCCTTCGAGCTTGGAGGAATTGCAAGCTTCCCAAACACTGTGACAACAACGAGGTCCAGAAGGCTTTCTGTCTTGAAGCTGGTTGGATTGTAGAAAAAGATGGCACTACCTTTAAAAAAGGTTTCTCTCAATCTACTCTTAGATCTATAAATGCATTTTCATGGGGGAAAATGAAACACTTACCTTTATTCTCAAATTTGATGGGTATGTTAAATTTAATGGAAATCAAATATTTGAACTTCAAAACAAACACGGTTTTATTGACCCTTTTAAAACAAATTGAATAATTTTCCCACAAGTATGAGAAGTTTGTGTTTGTTTCGAAAATCAAATGATTAGCTACCATTTACACCATAAGAATTTCCTAAAGCAAATCAACATAACTCATCAAAATTCAAAATAAAAGAAAAATGATTCATTTTTTCTTTTTACCATAAAAATGCATTTAGATCTGAGAGGAGATGGAGGGAAACTTTTTGATAGGTAGTGTCATCTTCTTTTACAATCCAACCAGTTTCAACAAAAAGAGGCTTCAACACCTTGTTGTTGCCATAGTGCTTGGCAAGCTTGTGGATCCCCTAAGCTTGAAGGTTTGTGTTAGCTCTTTAAAAAGAGTTAGTTATTATGCTTAGTATGGATTAATTAAGTTGTGTTAGTTCTTAATATGCTTTTACTTCAACCAAAAACAATGTAAATTCTTGAATTTTGGTAAAGTTGACAAAACTGCTCGAATTATTTTAGCATTTTTTCTTGTGTTTGGCTGGTTAGGTAGAAGCCAAATGGAGATATAGAGATGAGGTGTCATAACTAAAGTCGGTTAGGAGACAAACCCATGTGGGTAGGGCCCACTAGTTATAAGGAAAAAGGCAAAATAACCCCTGCTTTTTGTTTGAAAAGAGGTGAACCACATGATGTATACCTGATCGAAAGGTGAAAAAGAATTTATTGGAAAACCCAATGTTGAAATCAATATAAAATGGAAGTTGTAACGTGTCAAAAGAAAATTTTGGGAAATTTACAAAAGTTTGTTTGTTTTCTGGCTCTTTATCCGCATCTTTTTCAAAATAAGTCAAAGAGAAAATACGAGAGCTTGAACTTTTGATCTGAAGTTGACGTTGAAGCTTTACTTGAGGCACGAGCAATCCGTATAGAGAGAAGTTCTTTGTGATATGTGGAAGAAAGCTTGACTAGATTGGAATAGTCTTTATCTTCTTATTTATGAATTTGTGAAGATCTTGTAGTTGTGTGAACATTGTGATTGTAAACTGTTGTCGTTTGAATCGTGGATATGTGTAGTTTAATTGAATTCTTTTTCCTGTATTTTTGTTCATTTTACAATACGAGCTAAATTTCTCTTGGATTAGGTAGAGAAAATACTTGGAAATGCATGAATGATTGTGTGAGAAAATAACTTGCTATGGGCCCAACTTAATGGCTCATATTCTAGAAGGCCCAGCAAAGGCCATTAGCTAAGAGAGAAATAAGAAAAGATTCCAAAAAGATATTAATCCTACCATATCTTCAGCACATTATGCATTGGATCCCCATAATACGTAAAAGGTCCAAAATTTCACTGCTCATAGGTAAACTCATAAATAAGAAGTTTGGTAGTGAAAAGGTGTGCCTTTTCGTCGACAAACAGATGTATCTTTTCATCCTAACCGACATGTTGTTTCATCCTAACGGACATGTTGTTTCATCCTAACGGACATGTTGTTTCATCCTTGAATGGGTGTCTTTTCGTGTTGAACAAATGTGTCTTTTCGTGTCCAACGGATGTGTTGTTTCGTCGTCGAATAGGTGCCTTTTGGAACGTGACTTTACGTTGTCTATAAATAGACACTAACACCTTCAGAAAATGGATCCAATTTTTTCTGCACCGAAACTCTGCCGGAATTTTTCTCCTTCCGATTTTTTGCATATTCCTGTTCATACTCCGGTGTGATTTCCTCTGGCATATTGTTGTGTTCGTTTGGGCTGTTGACTGGTAGTGCCGCCACTCTTCAGACAAAATCCGTTCTATCCTGGGAGACAAGTGTCCATCAACCTTTGGCACCAGTGAGGGGGCAAATTTTCTTAAGGAGACACGTTCTGTGGGCTCGGATTTAATTCCTCTACTACATACATTAATCTGTTCTGATTCTTTATACTGACTACAAGTAAGTCTGTTCTTATATTTTTTATAATTGCACAGTGATAATTCTGATCATCTACTTCCTCTACCTTATACATGGGTTCAAATCTCTTAGTGATATAATATCACTCACTGTCTTCTATAACAATCTTAAGACAATTTTGGTGTTTTGAACCTGTGATCAGTATATTCTTTTTTTATTTTATATACTGTTTTTATTTACTATGTAATTAAAAGATTAATCTGTGTGATTATTCAGAGTTTCTCTTTGTGTAGCAGAAATGTAATTTTTAATCCGAGTTTGAAAAAATCATGTCAAATCCATGTTTCAATGTTTTTGCATTCTAACGTAGATAATTATTCTCGGTTCACGTGCTTCTTATGTAAGAAGTTGGAATTTTTTCTAAAAATAGAACCGTCACTGTTACGAGTGTGCATGTTTGCTTTATGGTTTGTTGCCATTATTCTATATCTATAGAATCCGATTAATTGATTTTCATTTTATAGTTTGGATACATGTTTTCTTTTGGTTTTGAGATATATTACTTGTCTCAATTTTCGTGTCCATGCTTATTAGTTTTGAATAGCCATGGATAGTAAAATCACCGACTTGGATTCTGTTACGTATTCAATTGATTTCTATTACTTTTCTTCTCAAGTATCATACTTCTTTGATATATATTATTTCCTTCTCGATAATCGTGCATTGATATGGGCATATGGCCTTTCAATGTATATATGAGTTCCTGTAACGATAATTGCTTTTCGTTTTTTGTGTTGGAAATAATAATTTTGTTTGGATAAAAAAAAAAAAAAAATTACGATGCACATATGTTGATTAAGGCACAACATGGGAAGTTTGTGTGCTTTATGCATATATTTGAAATTGAAGTTTAGTGACTTCTATGGTGCAAAAAGATGAATGAAAAATTCAGATATGTTTGCATTTAAAAAAAAAAAAAATTCAGATATGTCGGTTGATGTAATTCCATTAATGCATGCCAATATATTATGTATTTAATGCATTACATAAAGGGAGGGAATATATGTAAAATGCCATTGGAAACTTTTTGGTGAATTGTAAGTTTAACAGTCGTGAAAACATTGCTATATAATGTTTTGAATTTTGTGAACTTTGTTCTAATTATATGCATGGCTTCATTCTAAAAGAATTGTTTCGTGAAAGACAACCATGATTTGCGATGAATCCGGTTTGATGGTTGATGGTTTTTTCAATTATATTAAGTCTTTTGTGAAATGGCTTTATATATTTATAAGCATGGTACCAAAAATTGATATATGACCTTTGGTTTGATGTGCTTACTTTGATGCTGGTTCAATGAGAAATGCAGTGAAATTTGATGCCATTTAATGGTATATAGTATGATAAATGAGAAATATTTATGACATGAGTATTTTGTTATATTAATTATTATGTGTGAAATGTTATGCATTTATTGGCATTCAATTGTATATGGTACACTTAATGGATTTGACGGTATATGATGGTGTTTGATATCCATTAACGCGTGACTTATAAATGTGAAAGTTTTGACTTTATGATTTAGGCAAGTGATAATTCTTGCTTAAAAATGCACTATGTGCTTTGATGGATATAAAAGCCTTATATCTAGTGAAATATTTGATACTATGTGAACTCAAAAGAGCTATCTTAGTGATGGCATGATCAAGGTCAATGGATAACTTTGAATATTGTAAATGACATGATAATTGTATATTATCTTATGGTTAAATTGGATTTATTATTTGATATATGTTAATATTCAATAAGAAAGTTAAAGGCATTAAGGAGCGATCGAGGGGAAGATTATAATGACCCTTCGAGTAGTTCAGTTTCGAGTGTGATATCATATAACAAATGATTGCTCCTTATGCTTCACAATCCAATGGGATTGCTGAGAAAAAGACCCAGACATTAAATGATATGATCTTGTTGATGTCTGGTTTGTGGGAAAAAGTCATTTAATGACAAATTATATATAATCAGTAAAGTATCCCACAAGAAAATTAAGAACACCTCCTATGAAATATGGAAAGGTAGGGAGCCTACCTTGAATTATCTTGAAGTGTAGGGGTGTTTGACAAAGAGCATACCATACGGCATATGGAAAAGAAAGAAGTCATCCCTGAAATACTTTAGAGTGTGGGGGTGCTTGGCTAAGGTTGCGGTTCCTAAACCAAAAAGGTTGAAAATCGAACCTAAAACCGTGGATTGTGTATTCATCGGTTATGCACTTAAT